CGGGGGGGAGGGGCGCGTTCTGCGGGTGGGGGCTGGTGTCCCGGGGGGAGGGGAGAGGAGGGGGGTGTCCCGCGGCCTGTGGAGGCTCCGGCCCCTCGTCCCTCGGGGCGGATGGGTGGAAACGGGCCGCCAGGCTGAGGGGGCAGTGGGACTGGGTCTTGGCAGCCCGCTGGGAGACCGACCTTTCCTTTTCTCCTTTTTTTCCCCCCACCTCACAGATGAGTTGGTGCCTGATGGAGAAGCTAGCAGTCTGCGGGCAGGAAACGTGCCCTGCTGTCTGCGCCGCCCAGGAGCCCAGCGGGGTTTTGTAACACCGTCCCCCACCCCCGCCCCTTTCCACTCGGCTGCCCTCCGGGAGGCCCCGGCATAGCGCTGTCCTGGCCTGGCGTAGCGTTGATTGTGTGTCTGAGGGAGTTCAGATAAGCCACAACTGACATGTGTTTGACAGAGAAGCTAGAGAGATGCGCCCTCACGGTTTCCTTCTGTAAACGCGCGGCAGTCTGCGATGGAAGGCCTGCAGGCAAACTTCCCCCTGCGCCCTGGTTCAGACCAGAAAGCAAATAGGATGCGTGAGGATGGGGGCCCTCCAGTAAAGAAAGCAATGACAGAAATGCATGGAAATACTGAGTTCCCAACTGGGGTGAGTAAGATGCCCACCATCAAGAAGGAAAACTTGGATGAATATGATGAAACTCCCATGGAGGTGGATAGAGAAAATGTCAAGTCAGACAGCGCTGCTGTATCTGAGCCCCTGAGTTTAAACCCTGGTTTGAAACACACCTTGGCACAGTTCCATTTAAGTAGCCAGAGTTCGCTGGGTGGACCAGCCGCTTTTTCCGCTCGCTATTCTGAGGAAAGCATGTCGCCCACCGTCTTCTTGCCTCTTCCATCACCGCAGATCCTTCCTGGCCCCTTGCTTGTCCCTTCAGATAGTTCCACGGAGCTCACTCAGACTACGCTGGAGGGGGAATCTATTTCCTGTTTTAAAGTTGGTGGAGAAAAAAGACTCTGCCTACCTCAAGTCTTGAATTCTGTGCTCCGAGACTTTTCCCTCCAACAAATTAATGCAGTTTGTGATGAATTGTACATATACTGTTCAAGATGCACTTCTGATCAGCTTCATATCCTAAAGGTATTGGGGATCCTTCCATTTAATGCCCCATCCTGCGGGTTGATCACGCTGACTGATGCTCAAAGATTATGCAATGCTTTACTACGTCCTCGCACTTTTCCTCAAAATGGCAGTCTGCATCCTGCTAAAAACACATTGGCTCAACTTAAAGAAACTGGCAGTGCCTTTGAAGTAGAGCATGAATGCTTGGGCAAGTGCCAGGGTTTGTTTGCACCTCAGTTCTATCTTCAGCCAGATGCTGCGTGTATCCAGTGTTTGGAGTGTTATGGTATGTTTTCTCCACAGACGTTTGTGATGCATTCACATCGATCTCCTGATAAAAGGACCTGCCACTGGGGTTTTGAATCAGCCAAATGGCATTACTATCTTCACATTAACCAAAAATATTTAGGAACATCAGAAGAGAGGGAGCTGAAGCATCTCTTGGAGGAAATGAAGGAGAAATTTAGCGTGAAAAATCAGAAAAGAACTCAGTCCAAAGTAAGTTCAGTTTAATCTTATAAAACTTTTGGATTACTCGCTGTTAACAGATGAATACTTCTGAAGCATGCTGTTCATTTTCCTAAATACGAGCCAGTGTTAGATCAAGTATAGGCTAAGTGTGTGAGTAATCTGCAAGATACATAATACAGTTTCAACAATTTCAATATAAAAGGCTTAGTATTAAGAATTCTTTTCTAATTGGAGCTTTTGTGATAAACTGGTCAAAAACTTTCAGAATGTAGTTCTGTTTCTTTGGATGTTTTTGATAGCCATGTTGGTCTGAGACTAAAAGAAATGCAAAAGCTTAGAACTCCTGGTTCAGAAATGATGCCTTTTATTATCCTAGTTGGTCTAATAAAAGGTATAATTTCTGAACCAAGAGTTCTAGGCTTTTGCATTTTGTTCTGTTTCTTTTGCTTTTTTAAACTGGCAATATCTGGAAAATGTAGAGGTTTCATGGACAGTCTGTCCTCCTGTTTGACCTACACATTGTGTGATTTGTTTTATACCAAGCATGTTGCAATAAGCAGGAAGCTGCCTGAAAAATCAAGTGCTAGCTTAAACTGACAGACACAGACTTACATTCCTGTGCGTATATGTACACATGGTATATAGCCAGTTACCTTGCTAAGTGCCCAGATTTTTAAGGTGATAGTGCATTGATGCTGGTGAGAGGCCAAAGGCTGCTTTTAGAATGTGGTAATATACATTATATGTTTAATATATATAAAAAAAGATAGGATAGGCCTTAAAAGGTTTTTAAAGCAATTCAAGTAGTATCTCGTATTACTATGTAATGCACCTTGACACACCAATGAGAGAGACTGCCTATTTCAGTAATACTGTAAGTCCACACAGTATTTCACAAGCATGAAGTTAGTTCTACTACAGTGATATCATGATCTAAATAAGACAAATACAAGACAAATGTTAACTGTTTATAGAAGAGGAATGATAAATGCTTGAAAAAGAAGTTATGAGGAAGGATTTGGAAAACAGAGGGTAACTAATGTGTTACTGATTTGAGGCATTGCTGTGGTAGTTGTGTTTGTAGATTATTAATAATTTTTCTGAGAAGAGCTTAAACTTTGAGTTTTTGGAATATTTCCATTCCTCTTGGGGTTGTTTTTGTTGTTTGGAAGAATTTTCCTGTTCACTTTTGCATACAGCTATTGCGTTAAGTGGGGAGGAGTGCTTGCATCCATAATTTGGAGGCTTCAGGGAGTTGGGTAACCATTGACTTGGGGACATTTTACCTTTTCTGCTGTCCCTTCACTCCTAAACATGAGATCAGTTGACTTCAGTAGCCTGCAATTGACTGACATCTGCACTGTGCTTGCCTGACTTGGGGTAGGCAGGTGGGGGATACAGTCCACATTTGGGTCCCGAGAGGCTGGGGTAGGGCATGTTGAAGGACTGCAGTTGAGTCAGGAGTGAGGCTACAGTGGCTTTTTAGAAAGATGGCTTTTAGTGGCTTTTTAGAAAGATGGCTTTTAGTGACCTTGTTCAAGGGAGCTCATTGGCTAACAAGTACCAACAAAAGGGGGAAAAAAAATTGGAACAGTAAGGGCACTTTTACACATGCTCTGGTGGTGGGGGGCTGTGCTGTAATTAAAGGCTGCAGTGTCTCATGTATCAGTGTTTCAAATCAGTTGTTCAGGCTTTAGTTCAAGTGCCCCAGCTGCCATTTTGAAGTGCAGGGATGCTGATACACAAGACATTGGAGGCTGCAGGAGTGTGATAATTACCAGGGTCCATCAGACTCAATTAACTGATTCTGCTCTGATGCACTGTAATTACAACTGGCCCAGAGCAGCCAGTTGTATCAGTGGGTGTGTGGTGTGGCATGCCTGAGGACCAGCCTGATTCGTGTCACAAAAAGCTTGATGTTCACAGTGCACCAGCTCAGTGTTACGTGTGGGCAAGTTTAGCGTACTTGGAAAATCAAGTACTCTTTGAACCATTCCAGGCACTGAACTAGTTTAATGGACTTGTGTGTCTGTCCATTTCAGGTTTAAACCATGTTTAAACTGGTCTAAGTGTGAGGTATGTAGCAGCCACCATAGTGGAGGTCACTTTTCCTGTGCAGTCTCACAGGGCTGCTTCCCACCCCTCAGTGACAAATTTGACAGCTCTGAGCGCTGGCTCCTAGTGAGGCTTAGGTGCAACAGCAATAGTTGAGGGCTTTAGAGGAAGTATTACGTTTATTTTGGCTCTTCCCTGTTCAGACCTGCTCTTTCTTCCCCAAGCACCAAAGGAACAAATGGAGATTAGATAACTTTATGAATAGTTTCACAAGCTTAGAACATTTTTTGCCGCATAGAAACGCTCTTAAAATATGCCAAAGATAAAAACCGGAGGTTATATGGGGAGCCCTGCAACAATTTTTTTTTTCTTTCTGCTTGCATAACATGGAAGACCATGTTGCCATAACTTTTATTTCTCACGCTCCTTATGATGAGGAGAAAACGGGATAGAGGCATTAAATATGATCCATAGCAAGGCTACCTATTCTGTCCCCTTATATTCCCAAGCAAATGTGTTTACTTCTTCTATAATGCTCCAGTATGTACTCTTCTTCTTCCCTCTTGCTACTTTCCATACTGAAGAGCAGTAAAGCCTGTGGGGTTTCCTCATTGCATAGGAAAAAGGAAAATCACTTGAAGAGACCAGGGTATTGGTGCAATTTGTTAGCCATATTGCAATGAGTCTCTGTTCTACAAACAAACCTTCACCTAAAGAAGTTCCTGGATTTGTGGATGTTGTTTTGTAATAGTCTGTGACAAGTATATAGAATGGGAGAGAAATATTTATAGCATTACAGAACTTGTCCTGGACTCAACTGAGAGTAATGGGCTCTATTTTCCATTTTTACATGTATATTTGTAGTATGCTTCTGGCAGAGATTTGGAAAGCAACTAAAGGACTTTGAGGACATTTTCCCTTGAGTGCAGCATATTACTACTTTTATATTTTTTCCTTTTCCTTTCTAAAATTAAGTAATATCACAGGTTATATAGGTTAATATTGGATACAATGTATATATTTCTAAAGTAAGTAGATGACAAATAGCATTTTAATTTGGAAGTTAATGTCGTACTGTTACAGTATATGATTGCAGTCTAGATACCTCATTTTTGTCTTGTATACCAATTTCATTCTAAGAGTTTATGAGTTAACATATTACATATTTTATATGCAAAATAATTCATTCATATCATGTGTGCACTTTAAACTAGTACTACTGAATGTTGTGTGCTTACATGAAATCAGCAAGGTGCCTGTCCAGCCTTGTCTTGAACACCTCCAAGGAGGGCAACTGCACCACCTCTGCTGGGAGTGTGTTCCAGATTCTGGTGACCCTTACAGAAAAGAAGTTTTGCCTTGCATCCAACCTGAATTTGCCCTCTACTAGTTTATATCCATTGGTATGGTCATTGGTCCTCATCCTCCCTTGTTTTGTTGCTCTCTAACACTTTAAGAACAAACAAAACTAAATTACTGTGAATTGGGACCTTCTGATGTCTTGTTTTAGGTGCAAGAAGCTGTTTATCTCTTTGTAAACAGCTAATATTTTGATATCTCTCTGGTAATAAATATCTGCATTTGTAGTCAGGCCATCATAATGCTTTTTACCTGTAAGTTTTCTCAGTTGGATTTATACTCGCTCTTATTGACAGCAGCACTGACTGTAGTACTAAGCACAGCACCTTTGTGTTCATACATGGACACAGGCAACAGGAAGAGGAGGCAGCCCTCTGTTGCCCAATAGCCTAGCAACATCCGTGTTTGCCAAGGAAGTGGGATACCTGGCTGGGTTCTAAGCCCTCCTGAGCCCAAGGGGCCTGGGTAGAAGCTTAGTAAGGGAAAGCAATAACAACAGCCTTAACAATGCTGTCAGGGAGAGGATAGGGTAGTCAGATTCTTGAAATGCTTATACTACTAGCCTGAGAAGTATGGGAAACAAACAGGAAGGACTGGAGGTCCTAGTACACACATAGAATGCTGATGTCATTGCGATTATGGAGACATGGTAGGCTAGTTCACATGGCTGGAGTATATGGATGGGCATGGCTTGTTCAGGATGGATAAGCAGGGGGAAAAGGGCAATATGAAGTATGAAATGGAAGGTAGGCCTGTTGAAAGCCTCTGGGTGAAGGTCAGAGGGGAGAGCAGCAGGAGGGATGTCATGGCAGATGTCTGTTACAGGCCACCAGACCAGGCAGGGGAAGTAGACAAGACCTTCTTTAAACAACTGGTGGAAGCTTCCAAATCACAGGATTTGGTTCCCATGGGGCACTTCTGTTATCAGGACATCTGCTGGAAGGGAAACAGAGCAGTGCACAGGAAGTCCAATAAACTCTGAGTGCGTTTGGGATAACTTTTTTTTATACATATATGTGCACATACACACATCAGCTGGGGAAAATTTCTTCTTAACTTGCTGCTCACAAGCAGGGAGGAATTGGTCGAGAATGTGAAGGTGGAAGATATCTTGGATGACAGTGACCACTGCCTGTGGAACTGGTGCCCGTCACAGGAACACATGGGCAGCAGATCGCAGCTCTGGCCCCAGCCCTGCACTGTCACCAGCCTGTGATGCCAGCCCTGCCTATCCCACTTCTGGATGCGGCTCCCTGCCTGCCCATGGCCCCATCCCATCTGCTCAGTCAAGTGTGCCTTGTCCACAGGGGTCCTGGCTGGTCTCTATGGAGACCCTGCCCACCTGCTTCAGTCAGTGCCTCTGGTGATGGGTGTGGGTGGATGGGTCCAAGGCCACATAGGATCAATTGGCATCTCCCTGGCCTCCTCCCACTCCATTTCCCCCCCCAACTCCCCTACCCCTGTTCCCAGTTGTGCTGGCAGTGTAAACAGCCATGGCTAGGGGACTAAGGTTTGGTCAGCAGCCCCCCAGCCTTTAACAGCTGACCAAAATTCCTTAAGTGGTTCTTGAGCCCAAATAATCAGTTGCCCACCACTGATATATACAGTGATCCAACCAGTTATGTACTTGAAGAGTAGTCATCAGTGATTCAGTGTCTAGTTCGAGGAAGAATTGACTGGGGTTCTCCAGGAGTCTGTCTTGGGTCCAGTGTTGTTCAACATCTTAATGATTTGGATAGTGGGACTGATGCTTAGCAAATTTGCATATAACATGAAGTTGGGTGAAGTGGCAGGCACTCTGAAGGGCAGGGCTAGCATCCAGAATGATCTGAATTAACTGGAGAAATGGTCTGCAATCAGTCATGTGAGCTTTAACAAGGACAAGCACAAAGTCCTCCACTTGAGACAAAATAATTACATGCACAAATACTGATGGGGGAATGACTGGCTAGGCTGTGGTCCCGCAGAGAAGAACCTAGGGGTTTCTGTACACCTTAAGCTGAATATGAGCCACCAGGCTGCCCTTGTTGCAAAAAAACAAACAAAAAAACCCAAAAAAACAAAACAAAAAAAAAAGAAAGAGGCTAAGAGCTTGCTGGGTTGTATTAATAGGAGTGCCACTTGCAAATCAAGGGAAATGATTCTTTTGCTCTGTTTGGCTCTGGTAAGGCCTCACCTGGAGTATTTGGTACAGTTTTGGGCCCCACACTTCGAGACAGATGTGGGCAGATTGGAAAGAGTCCAGCGGAGAGCAACAAAAATGATTATGATTATGGGCTGAGAGGAGAGACTTACGAGAAAAGGCTGAAAACTGGGATTATTGAGTCTGAAGAGAAGACTCAGGAGTGTATTTGATACCGTCCTAATACTTGAAGAGCAATTACAGAGAGGATGGAGATGGGCTTTTCTTTGTGACCATGGGGGACTGGACTAGGAGCAATGACCTCAAGCTTCAATTTAAATTGGAGCTAGGAAGTTTTTGACTGCGAGGGTGGTCAAGCATTGGAACAGGCTTACTTAGAGAAATTGTGAAATCTCTACCCCTGGAAGTTTTCAGGAACAGGTTAGACAAGCTTTTGACTTGGATGGTTTAGTCAGAGATGACTTTGCCTTGAGTTTGTGAGGAGGGGGAAGAATTTCATGATTATATGACCTTGTGAGGTCCCTTCCAGTCTTACTTTCTTATGATCCTACTCTAGTGTTTTGGTGGTGGGGCCCCTGCTAGGAGAATGGAGTCCTGGGTTTCAATCCCTGCTGCTATAACTATGGTTTGCCTGTTAGTCCCCTCTTCCCCCCCACCCCCCTTCTCTTGCCTCATTGCAGACCTGGCTGCATTTAAGTATCTGTGATTTGTGTGTGGTGTTCTTTGATAGGAAACTTGCTGTGTAGGGGTCAGCTTTTATTGCTGTTCAAGTGGAAATAGATGGAAAATTTAGTGTTGTGTTAAAATAAGCTAGTAATTTTCTTATTTAACAAGCATCCTTGTTTTGGACCTCATAGTATTTGGGGCATTGTAGCTTAAATGTTTTTTTTCTTCTACCTGCAATGCTTTTAGTAGACAGTAAACTCCTGCTAGACTTCCTTCCCCCCCGCCTTTTTATTGATGTCCCATAAAGTTGTTCAATGTTAGTTACTATATTACAGAAAAACAAACTTACTTAAATTTAAATATAGAAGTCAGTAACTACCTATCCAGGGTGAATTGAAGGATTGGCATTGAAATGCAGTATACACCTCATGAAAATGCCTTAAATACGGGCTAGTATTTTACAGATTTGCTTTGTGTACTATACATTTTGATGATAGACTTATGAGAGTAATACAGCACACAAATCTCTGCTCAAGTAAATAGCACGGCACAATGTCTCTAACTGTTATCTATTGCATGTTAAACATCCAAAGATTTTTATGACAGTGGTTCCAAATTTTTTATTTGCATTAGTTTGACAGATGGCTGTTCACAGTTACTTCATGTAATATGCCATATAAGAGTAAGAGTTGCTGCCTTCTCTCTTCTTGTTTTGGCCCATTTTCTTTCTCTGCCCCATGCTTTCCTGACCTGTTTCTTTTCCTCATATTTTTAATCATGTTGTTTGATTTCTTTAGTCTTTCCCCATTTCAAAATCTGACACATCAGAAAGCTTTATGCTGTTGGGGAGTGGGAGAGAACATCCTATAGGTGACTCTTTTCTTACTGTTGTATGTGCATTTTCAGTTGCATGCCATGTGAAGAGAAGGGAAGCTTGGGTTGGTAGAATGCTTCCCAAGTTTACAAATGGGAACAGTTCTCATGACCAGTTTTCTTGGGAGTCACTAAAGAAGCAAGAAAGGGAATATCAGAAGTTTTCAAGAAAATTGCCTGCTGCTTTGCCCATAATTGGAAAGGGCCAGTTTGAGGTCTTACAGCTTTCCCTGCTCTCACTGCTGTTTTTTGTTGTTCTGTATTCCTCACCATGCCTCCCTTTCTACCTCTTAGCTCCCCTTATTTGCCTGCTGCTGCTGAGCTTGGAATGCAGTGTGTTATTGTATAAATACCTTTACTAATGAGCAACATATTTTTATTGATTGTTTAGCAGAGTTGATTTAGAATTTGAATGATGAATAATGAAGTTCCCAAATTGGCTTTTTTATTTTTAAACTCAGGCGGATCCCCAGGGAAGCCTAGAATTACAGCAGTGGTATCCAGTTATAAAGCAGGAAGCAGACCCTGCTACTCAGTCACCTTCATTCATCCATCCAAGGTAACTGAATTGTGTTGCCAGAAATGTGAGAGTTATATGTGTAACCTAGAATCTCTTTAATTAGTCAAAGATAATATCATCTTTTAAATTATAATTATAGCTCTATATGTTTGCTGGAATTTTAGGGGAAAAATCCCAGTATGTTACACAAGAATAATTAAATCCTGGATTTTTTTAGAGTTATGTAGTAAAGTTCATCCTTTTATTGTGAATAAATGGGTGGTCCTGAGTTGAAAAATGGAATTCAGTAACTTTTTGTTCCTCAGAATATCTCAGTAGAGATATGTGAATTAGAAATAAAAGTTAAGTGTAATTACATAGAGTTGCTTTCACTGTAGAAATGGTTTGTCATAGGTGATAAATTCTAACCTCTTACTGACCTGCATCTTGTAACTTGACACGTGTGTAGCATTTTATATGCACATTATTAACAACACGAAAGAAAATTAAGTTTCAGTTAACTGTGACTAGTACAAACTTCCCACCATTTTTATTCCATGGGGGAGCAATGTGATGCTGCTTAACCCTTCTGCTGACCTGTCTACAAAGTGCTTATGACTGCAGTCGAATTGTCAGTTGAGCAGATTCTTGATTTAATGAACCCAGAATATTTCTTCACTGTGGTATAGCCTCATTCCTTTATTGTCCAGAGTAACAGCATTTTTTCTTTGAATATGTTATTGTAAATCCCCCTGTTCTTTAGGTACCTTAGGTACATGAGATCAAATTGTTTTGAAAAGCTTCCTCTGTTGGGACTGTGCATGTGCTCTATATCTCCTTCTGCTCCCAAGCAAGGGCATAAAGGATGGAGCTGCTGCATTTCTACCACACTTCTCTCTTACAGCTTGTAACTTCTCCAAGAACTAGGGAAAAGAAGCAACAACATAGGCATCAGTACCTTCTGATGCTGACTACCTTGGTGTTCCAAACCCTTGATGGTTTCCACATCAGAAGTTGGTCATATTTCTATGGGAAAGAAGAGGTGATGTCAGCCTTATCTGACTGGGTGCTGGAAGTCAGATATATCAAGTATTTGATCTATAGCTGAACAGCAGAACTTGAGACAGTGACCACTCTGAAGCCTTTGAAACAACTGGCATCAGCCAACCTGGCACTGGAATTGCACCACATTAGAGTCTCTTGTTTGAGGAAATGGAAATTTGCTTGTTCTTGTCATTGTTTAAGTGGAGATTCCTCTCTCAGACCACTAACGAGCAATTGCAAGAAGCATTCCAGGCTGTATCTTAAGGAAGATGTGACTATCACTGGGCTGGTCAATTTTAACCTCAACCTGGCCAACATTCTTGTAGCAGTTCTGCTCTGGCCCTGTTGGTTCTCCTGCCATTCAGTAAAATTGTAAGTCAAACTACCCACTCCAGCACCAGATATCTGCATCTGGGAGTAGATGACACCTGTGCAAAGGCAACATTCTCAGTCCCCATCTAAATAATTATCCTTGTTGCCATATTGTGGCTCTGACCCCACCCCTCATGCTCAACATTAAGGTTGCCAAGACTTCCTGGAAAGGATATGTCCCTAATTACAGAGGCAAAGATATTAAAATCATAATTATAAAGGAAAAGTCCCACAAGCATTTTTACATATTCTGGAATTCAAACCAGGATTGTCCTCCCTATCAATGGAAGGTATACTTGAGCTGGCCAAAAGATTTTAGCAAAGGTGTTGACTTCAAATCTAAGCAAGTGGAAAAGAGATACCAGATGCCGCTGAAATGCTTTGTATATTTATATGATCACCAAGACCTAGGGTTCTGGTGGTATTGGTAGTGCAGATGAAACACAAGTCTACAAAGGACACGCACAAAATAGAGCCCAGAAAACCTGGATCACTTTAAGCACAAAGCATGCTCTTCTGACATACTTTAGCTTTGGGTTGTGGAAATATTAACTGCTGTTTGCAAAAATATAACTGCATAACTTTGACAAGAGCTCACTCCCTTTCTGTCTAGGATCTCGCATCAGAATAGGAAAGAACTAAAAGTAATCATGGGAGGTCACTAGCACCACTAGAGGTGGCTACAAATGAGTTCAAGTTAAGTGCCATGTCAGTGGCTTTAGCTATCACAATAAGGCAGGCCTTATGACTTTTTTGATATACTGAAATGGAGACTAAGTGATAAAATAACAAAGAATGCCATTTCCTGAAATATTCTAGGGCTGTGTTAATGTAATTAGCGATTTAAACTCTAGCTCCCCACAGAAAGCCCTAGGAATACCCACCCCAGTATTTGCAGAAGATATAATCTTACCTCTAGGACTGACAACCTGAGTGCATATGGAAGAAAAACAGAACCAAGAGCTCCAGAAAACTTTATTTCAAAGCATGTTCAGCATATGCTCTTAGTGTCTTGAACAATACAAGCAAGAATTATGAAATGATAAATGCTAAGAAACTAATACAATGGCAGCAAGCAAACTCAGTAATGTACAAGATTTGGCAATATCTGTACTTTGAGGGGCAAAGGTGCAACAAGTGAAGAGATTTGTGCTTTAGGGAGTTTTCATCATATCTTCCATCTGATATTATCCAAAATAAAAAGGGTACTTATTGCAAAAATTCTTTCTATAACTTCCAAATGCCTCTGTGTTGTAGAAAGTTAAATTTCAATGTCCACCTTACTAAAATGTTTAATATGGTTGACCCATCCTGTATGGTTACAAAAGCTGATCTTTGCCTACTAAAAAAAAACACCTGGAAGGTAAATCAGGCTTTTTGGATTTTGTTGGCAAAGACAAATGTTGAAAATCAGCTGGATATCCAGAATTGTAAATGAAGAGGTGTTCAGCTGGATGAACATAGGACAAACATAGCTACTTGAAATGCTAGGTAAAAGAATAATCTCTTTCTGTGGACACGTTACCAGACAAACTTCTGGCACTTGTTCTATCAGGTAAGGAAAACCAGGAAGAGGGAGAAAGACTCAGCCATGTCAAAAGCGTTGCAAGATGGAATGATATCCAAAAGAGTGCAGATGTTTTTAAAGCTGTGCTATGACCATGCTATTCAACTACATCTGAATTGGGGACATTTGACAAGGATGAATATCTAGAAGACACCCTTTTTTAGCCACTTCTGTCTCCAAAAATTTAGCGAGTACTTGACTGAAGATTTTAAAAGGTGCGCTGAGCGTCACAGTGGAACCGGTTACATCCTTGAGAACCTCAATTTCACTAGGTTTGACTACTATCACAGGCAACAAATAGGCACTGGACAATGTCCAAGGCTACCCTCACCACTCCTTAACTCTTTTCCCACATCCTTTTTTAAGGACTGTTTGCAGAAGCGCCTGTAGTAGCTTTGTTGCCATGTGTAGACATCACAGAGGAGCTGGACTTGCAGAGGAGATGAAGAAGTTTCTGCTTCCAGTATTGCCTTATCCAGAAGAGGGGTCTTACCCTGAACCTGAGGAGACTGAACAAGTACATACACTATTTCAGATTCAGAATGGTGATTAGGGACCTACCCAAATTGTGATTGTTTGGATTTCACAGAAATCATGAAATTGGGCAGTTTCTGCAAAACCACCCAAGGGTGGGGCAAATAATGAAAAACAAAAACTTACTAAAAATAAAATAGCAGGAGCCAGCAGTCCTCCTGGCCACACAGCCCACCCTGGGGAAGGGTGGAAGGAGGCTGCTGGCACAGGGGCAAGTGAGCGAGCAAGATGGCTGTTGCCCCTTCCCCTTGCTGCTGATTGGTTGAGAGGGCTACCTGTCAGGTGGCCCTGCTCTTCTCTGCCAATCAGTAGCAAGGGGTGGGGCCACATGAGGGACAGCCCTCTCAACCAATCAGTGGCAAGGTCAGGGCTATATGACAGACAACCCTCTCTCCCAATCAGCGGCGGGGGGCAGAGCCCCTTGGCCAATCACAGTGGGGGGTGCCCATGATAAGCCCTGAAATGCTTGCAGCTGGCCCCAGGATCTGGCTGTGAAATCATCTGGCTGCCTCCCTGAGTTAGGTAGGCCTCTGATGATGATGCTTGCCTCCTTTTTTTTTCCCCTTCAGTCTTAAGTTTGATTCATGGATCTTAATGTTCAGCATAACTAGTTCTTCTTAGTGATCCACCTGGCTCACGTGAAATATTTGAGATTAACTGGGATGGCAAAGCACTAGCAGTACAAGGTACTGTCTTTCAGACTTTCCACAACACCAAAAGTCTGCACAGATGTTTAGCAAAGGCAATGGCATGCATGACAAGACAGAATTCATGTCTTATGTGAATGTGGCTGCTCAGAGGCGTGCTGTGGCAGATACAGTGGACAACAGTCCTACAAAATACTTGCTCTGTGCTTTTGGCTGGTTGAAATAATTAAATATGAAAAAATCTTCTCTAATTCCATTGCAAACTGTAGAGCTGACTTGAGCTACGATTAACTCCAGGTCAATGAATGTAATTCTTAGGTACTGAAGGGATATCTTTGTCCTCACATAGAAGGACATGAAGACTTAGGGCTCAGACAACTCCAAACAGTAAAGCGAATTCAGTCTTGTATGCATGTGCGCCTTCAGTGGGATCTACACTGACTGTGTCATTTTATAAGAGCTACATTTAATATAGAGTAAGCATCCATTCTCTTTCTGTAATTTCACTCTTGCCTGCCATATCTCATTTCTTTGAGATCTTTTGCCAAGAGCTCTGCATTTGCATCTCTAATTCCTGAGGAAACTCTTCCCACTGTAATGCACATGACAGCAGTATTACCAAACCCAAGCATTCAAAGTTAAGCCCCAGAAGATTTTTCTTAAAAAAGTCAACACTTTTTTTAATTAAGAGTTCTTCTTTGCTGTTTGATTTCTAAGCCTTTGGGGTACGCTGAGTTCACATTTATTTAAAGGGAAAACAGGTTCTTGTATAAGCTTGATTCTAGGAGCTGGCGCTTAAAACAAACACAAAGTTTGGATAGCATTATGAGATTTGGCAACATTAACAGTGCTGAGTACAGACTTTAAAAATAAGGTTAATTGAAATGGTAGTTTCTTAGTGATCTTGCACAGGTTTTTGTTTGTTTTTAAATAAACCATTCATTCTGTTCCCCATTTCCTCTATGTAAGAAAAAAAACAATATTACTACAGCGTTTCTACAAAAGTTTGATTGCAGTTTTTAAATAATGATTTTTATTAACATAAAAAATATGTTAATATAATAAATGATAGAGGATATAATATGGAAATAGTGTACTGTATAGCATGTCCTTTCAGATGGCTACAACTCCAATAGCATGGTAACCCCCAGTGTTTTATAGCAAAAGGATATTGGTGTTCAGTGCAGATTCACATCGGGATATTTCTAATACTTCTTCACAGTATATCAGTTTAGACCAATGGATTTCATGCAACTGCCTATTTGGTCATCTGTCATTTCAGTGGTACAGCAGAATCATGAGCACCTTTTGTGTCCCATCCAGTTCTAAATATAAACGGAGGGATTGGTTGGTTTCAGTCCTGGAACTCTGAGTGTACAGGCATGGTTATGGTGTCTTCCCTTTATATTATAGTATAACTTTAGACACATACGTCATTGTCCTTATGGTTAAGATTGGCATAAAAAGCTTGTCTTTGAAAATGTTACCTGTCCAATTCATTAGGAATCTTCAAAACTTTTGGTTGCCATTTAAGATGAGAAATGTTATATAATTGCTGTGTGACTGATGCATTGATGATGAAATAAATGTTTTTATATTGTACTGATCAAAGTTTAATAATAGGAGAATTCAGTACTGACTCTTAAATATAATTTCTATATAATTATACTTTTAACTAACAGACTTTGGGCCTTTAAGTTGGTTTGTTATGTTGGATGTTTTATCTGAGATCTTACTTGCTGATTTGCTGCTAATTTAAGGAATGTCAGAGTTCTGGGGTGTCTCCTAAAAATCTAGAGATTTGTATCCCCAGTCAAAAAGATTCAAAAGTAGAATCTTCACCAAAGTGGTCAAATTTAATGTGAACCCGTATATCAGGGGTGGGCAATTATTTTGGGTGGAGGGCTGCTTACTGAGTTTTGGCAAGCCATTGAGGGCCACGAGATAGGCAGCTAAGGGCAGATAAATACTAATTTTCAAAATTTTTTAGGGGCCACGCAAGCCAGATAGAATGGCCTGGCGGGCTGCATCTTGCCCACCCCTGCCTTAGATCATTTATTTATTTATTTATTTATAAAATATTTGTTTGACTTTTTAAAGCGTTCAGACTGGAAAATTAGGGCTCTGCCACAGAGCTGGTCTGAGGAGTCTAGATTAAATAATCACTTGTATGAAGTGGATCACTGTAGCTTCAGCTGTATGAAAAGAATTTAGAAAAGGAATACTTATTTTCTCTTTACAATTCCTTAAGCTTAGAAAACATTTTATGTTTGAGATCAGGTTAAACAAAATTTACTTTAGTTGTTCAATATTTGTTAAATCTTCGGGGGGGGTTTTAATTTGCTGTTCTACTCTTTCAGTTACTACCTTTACATGTGCGATAAAGTGGTTGCACCAAATGTGTCCCTTACGTCACAGTGCAAAGAAGCTACAAAAACAGCAGGTAGAAGTTCAGAACTAATGAAATCCTTACCTGGACAGTCGGAGAAACAGCTCAGTAGTAGTAAACGCAAAAAAGGTGCCTCCTACCCAGAGCTGTCGCTTGAAGAGCAGGAAAAAATAGACTTAAAAACTAACACAGAACAACATAAACATTTTGGTGAGTAGAAAATTTGAAATTTATTTTGTGTTCTTTTGGTTTTTGTATAAAAATGTCTATTTTAGAAAAAGTTCAGAGTCGAACTAGTTTTGTAATGATTTTTTATGTTTCTATATTCTTTTTTATAAATTCTTAGGTTTCTAGTTTGTTTTGAAATTATATTCAGTCTGGGATTTATATAAACAAGTTTCCATTATGATTTTGTCATCTTTTTATCTCCCAAAGATCCATTACTGTCAAATAATTCAACAAGAAGTGGAAAATCTGAATATGTCTCTTCGAAAGCAAGTGCTGCATCTAACCGTGTTGAAATAGGTAGTAACACACCAACCTTCTCCCCAGCTCTCAAGGACATCAGTTGTGAAGATGACAAGGGAAGAATCATGGAGGAAGTAATGAGAACCTATATTAAGCAGCAAGAAAAACTGAATATTATATTGCAAAAGAAGCAGCAGCTTCAAATGGTACAGTGCCAATCTAAATGAGTTTCATTTTTGTCACCAGAACACTGTCTTTGTTCATGTTAGCTCATTGGGCCTAGAATTAGTACTTTTCTTGCAAATAAAGCACAAGTGATACTAAGAAGATCGGGATCTTGGTATAACATATTCGTTTGTATTTTTAGTTTATGTTAAGTTAGGACTTCTGTTGTAAACTAAATAGATTTTTCAACTTAGTTGCCAAGTGTTAGATTTTGCTGTAGGTTGATTGCCAAGATTACCCCCAGGGAGATAAACAGTGCTTCCTCTTCTAATGCCTCATTTTATGCATATGCATTTTTCTTTCTATTTGGATTGCATATTTTTATTTATTTTTTTAAGTGTGACTACCAAAAATCATCTTTAAGACAGACTTGCCATATATGGTGTTTAATTTATAGGCAGAGTGATTAAATACTTGACCAGTATCTGACTTTAGTAATTAAAATATTACTTACTCCATTCAAACTATGGGGTTTATTGTATCAGGTGCCTGGGATTCTAAGACTTCCTTGCCATATTTAATATTACCAGAATAGGAACTTCCTTCCTAAATTTAATGTTTTGTGTCACTAGCACTGACCTAATTTATTCTATATTAAACCAGTTCAGCCAACAAATGCTTCTACAGCTCAGTTTGGAATAAGATAAAAATTATGCTCTGATAAATTTGTATTGGAAAACTTGATGAAAAAGTTTGGTCAGCATCTGTCTTCTATTTGTCAGTGTGCAGGATTGAGAGAAGCTCTTCTTTTTGCATATGCTGCAACTTGTTATTTACTTTTAAAACAATATAACAATGTTATATTCATTAACAGCTTATATTTAATTTAGCACTAGTGAAATGTCATATCCAGAGGAACATTATTTTAATGTAGTTCAAAAACAGTACTTATTTTTTTTTTTGTTGCAGGTTTGTTTGATTGCTAACTAGAAAGAAACAATGCTGGTATTACACAAAGTATACTTACTCTCTTACTAACTTGGAGTCTTGCTAAAATTATATTGAAGCAGTCTTTAGGGAAATACATTACATTCACATACCAAATGTTATTGTTAGCTTTATGTGCATGAAAAACTTGGTTTTGGGAAATGAGTGACATTGACATTTACACCAGTAAGGCCTTATGTAGTGCCTTGGGTTTGGGCAGGCTGTCTGTAATTTGGTGATTTACGTGATCGTGTAATTCGCCTTGATGTGTGTGCATACTGAAAGTTTGGTTTTACATAAACTCAATGACCTTTGCACTGCATAAGTCCCTCTTTAGCCCTGTGATAAGGTAGAAAGCACATTACAATTGGTTCATAGTTCTTTTTGCAAGCTATTGCCACTGTAGTAATCTTTTCTCTGAATTAATAAATACTAGCACTATTACATTTTAAGGAACACATTGAAGTCTCAGTCTTCAACTTGTGTGATCCAATCCACTTGCAAATTGTAAGATCTGGGCTAAGTAACACCATTAAGGCCATTCCCTATATCTTTTTTCTACATCCACATAGATGCACAGATTTTAGGACCACAAGAAACTAGTTTGATCATTTACTCTGTTCTGTGTAATCCAGACCATTGAATTTCACGCAATAATTCATGTCTCAAGCACAGACAATTATGACTCAGTTGTAGTTTAGTTTTTAGAAAGACATCAAATCTTCATCTAAAGTCTTCCGGTTATGAAAAATTGTCCATATCTCTTGGTTCAATTATTATTTTAACATAAAAGAAACCTGATGTCCTATTTGAATTTTTCTACCTTGAACTTCCAGGTGTTGGCTCTTGTGATGCCTTTTGCCTGCTAGATTAAAATAATTCATTAGTAGCAGGTATCTTCTCTGTGGATACTGCCTTCTAGGCCTTGTCTACACTGTGACAGTGACAAATTCTACCACTGAGAGACCTGACTGTGCCTCATTCACATGTGCTCCAAACCCACAAGTACACCAGCAAAGCTGCTCTGGCTTCTTGCCTCTCAACACACTCTTAAGCCCTCAGTTTTTGACATTTTTGAGTGACTACTGTGGACAAGCCTGGAATGGCTTCACCAGCAAACTTCTGGTTTGCAGTAGGTCATGGATATGAATGGATGGGGCAGGGTAGAGGCTCTTGGTGCTAGGACCTGCTACCATCATTGTGGAGACAGGCCCATAGTCCTCTCTTTGATATAAAGTAAATAGGAAATTGTGGATCTTAAAGTTTTGACTCTGGTTCTGTGCTTCACAAGTTAATCTCACTCCATTCTTTCCCTCTTGTTCCACAAACAGGTAACTGCTTGTTGTTTTTATGATGAACAGCAGCATGTATAAACTCTAAGCTTGTTATGGAGATAAGGATAGGGCATCAAAAAGCTTGCATTTTTTTCCTCAGCTCTTTAATTTACTTACCATGAGTTTGGGCAAGCCATTTTCTGCATTTTGTTTTTCAGTTCTATAAAATGGAGAACGATGGTTGTCCACCTTTGCAAATGCTTTGATATCTGTGGATGAAAGATGATACATATTTATTAAAGAAAAAATAAACTTTCAAAGTACTTATATTACCTTTTTGTTTCTTTGTTTTAAATTTACAAATTACTTTTGATCATTCGGAGTGTAGTTTTGACTGCTTGTTATGATAATATCTCACATATCCCCCTTTTACAAGAAATTCTCTTTTACATTAACTTTTAAAATAAATATTCTGTCAGTTTCTGTCTGTTCAACAAGCAGGTTTTTCCATTTGCAGAAGAAAAAGATTTTTCTTGAGTATCACCTCATTCCTAGTTTCTTTGCTGAACTCTGTCAAGAAAAAACTTAAACCACAGAGACTTTTTCTTATTTGTCACAGAAGAGAACTCTGTAACTTCCCACAGCTCTTTTTAAAAGACAGCTCTGTCTGTGGAGGTATCCTACATAGATTTACTCTACAGATGATCTGTAGCACGGGGGTTGAATTGGAGGAAAACAAAAGCCTAGTAATAGTAAAGCTATGCTCACAGACTAAGCTTTGCCCATTTGAATCATCAAAACATTTTTTGTTCAGATTTTCATAACGCTACTATTGTATGATCTGCATGTACTTGTATTAGCTGCTTCATTGTCATTTTTGTTTTTTGCATGCATCAATTGACAGTAGTCTCACTTAATTTATATTTTAAATATTAGCATTCATATATTTCAGGATCAATGCTATTTTGATAAATGGGGCAGTTCAAATTTCCCAGAGCTGTTGTTTCAAACTATTCTTTTGACTTGGAAGTAGTAAATTGGTTACATTTGACTCAACTTAGCTTTTAGCTTAACATTTAAAAATATTAATATTCTGGAGGAAAATTTGGTAGCCTTTTCCCCCCTTTTCCTCTCCTTCCTCAAAATTGACTGAACTGTCATATCCCAGGCCATTTCGCTCGGCTCCAGCTCATTATCTCACACCCTGATGGTGTAATAACTTAGCACTTTTAACTCACAGAAAGAACAAATGTAATGTTCTTCGTAAATTAATTGATTTATAAAATGATACCACTACTCTCTTAGGTTCACTTTTGGGACCTGTGAGCTGGTTTCTGGAAGTTCTGGGTACTTGAAAATGCTACTTTTTTATATCACATAATTACTACAGAATTCAAGGCTGCTACTCACACACCATCAGTATGTACATTCTGTTTGTCTCAAGTATTTTGTGATAACACATTTTAAATTGATAGAAACAATCATTTTGATTTTTGGCCTTAGAATCATTCTGTGTATAATCCTCATCTTTTCTTGACAGGAAGTGGAAATGTTAAGTAATTCTAAAGCTATGAAGGAATTAACTGAAGAACAGCAGAATTTACAGAAAGAACTTGAATCTTTGCAGACTGAACATGCTCAAAGAATGGAAGAATTTTATGTTGAGCAGAGGGACTTGGAGAAGAAATTGGAACAGGTGATGAAGCAAAAATGTACCTGTGACTCGAATCTAGAAAAAGACAAGGAGGCTGAATATGCAGCACAGGTGAGAAATAAACATTTAAAGTCTAACAGTTTCTTGTCTACCACAAATAGCATCTTGTCCACTTGGCTGATGAAACTCGTGCTGAGGAAAGTTAAGAGTACAGGCTGTCACTAACGAAGCTTTAAACTTTTATAGAGTATTACCATACCACCTCCAGTTCACTTGTCCATCTTCAGCTCATTTGTCCCTTGACTGAAATTGAGATGAGGTATAGGTTACAGAAACTCTTCATCCTTCTGCAACTTTTCTTAGTGGTTAAATGGTTCTTGTCTTTGGAGAGGTCTCTGTGAAATTCTCCATACAGCAATAATGATGATTTATTTTTTTTAAAAAGCTGGAATGTGAATTTAAAAAAAAATGGAGCCATTTGTTTAATATATAGAAATTTGCACTTGTAATCTAAACAATGGTAGTCTCATTGTATTTCTAAGAAAAAGATAAATCTCTTCTGGCCACTCTTTGGTCAGGCTGGCAATATTCTTTGCTGTATTTATAATTCCCTGATATTAGAATGCATCATGATAACAGGTCAGGCCACATTCTGTAGGAACAGACGATCAAAAATCCTATTGGAGCAAAAGGATACAATCCTGGCTCTTCAGCTCATGGGTATTGTCTAATTATTTTTTTAAAGTTTGCCCCAGTCTTGTCTTTGAGGCTGGTGGGCTAAAAGCTATAGCAGTTTTCCATAATTTCAGATTGATTGATCATAGATTTCATAGGCATTAGGGCTGGAAGGGACCTCGGAAGATCGAGTCCAGCCCCCCTGCCCCAGGGGCAGGAAGTCAGTTGGGGCCATAGGATCCCAGCAAGATAAATATCCAGTTTTCTCGTGAAGGCATTCAAAGAGAAAATTGGATGTTTATCTTGCTGGGATCCTGTTGTTTATAGGATCAATTGTTTAAATTCTTATGAGTACTAATAGAAAAATGCCAATAGAATTCATATAGAACAGTATCTATAAAATCAGTCTCAGAACACTTTACAACAAATGGAAAACTCTTACCACCTAAGTAGATACTCAGCTTCTATGATTGTCACCTTTTGCTAATTCACTGTCTTGGTGGTTTCTATATTTTATCTCACCATGACAGTTTATGAATAGACGTGTTTCTCCAGATGTCATAGGGCCTTTTTATTGAAGATAATCCAAAACCTCAACAGTGTATACAAGTTGGAAGAAAAGTGACTTCACTGCCTAGAATGCTTTTTGAGCAAGCTGGCTGTTAATTTCCACAAAAGTTCAGTAAGCCTTCCTTGTTCTCATCCAAGGAGTTTTGGGAGGGATGGACTACAGATATAATCTGGACCCAAATCTAAGATAATTAATTGCAGGGAAAATTGGAGAGATCCTCTAACCAGAAGGCAAAGAAATATTATTACTACTTTCCACCAGATGGCTTCACTATCTGTTTATTAATTCTCTCATTTGTCTTTTAGTTTCTATTATATTGGGTTTCATAGTTCAAAGATCAGCTAGTTCACTTGGGACTTTAAGTGATCCTTCCCAAACATTTTAGCATCACTGGGGCACAAGGGATATACCTTACTAAAATGTTAGCTCTTTGAGCCTACTAAATGGCCAAAGTGATGGGAAAACTACTCGGTGTACATTTTAAATGCACTTTTTATATGCAGTTGGTACTTATTTGTAACAGTTGGTAAAAGCAATGATCTCTTACTGGCAACATTTCCTTTTGTAATATCTTCCCTACCATGCATTCAGATGACACTCCCTATAACAGCAACTGCCACTTCACAGCATCATAGAATCAGGACACCAGGCTACTAGCAAGCCATTTTATTCTATGGTGAAGATGCATTCCCTTTAAAAAGAGAGGAAAAAATATGAAAGTGGATACCATAACTAAAAAAAAATTAATATTGAAATTACCGTTCAAGCTGAGTTAAATCCTTTGGGATCTGCAGAAGTTGTCCTAATATACTTCTAAGTCCATTTCTAATAATGTAAAAATTCTGTAAAGGAACTAGGTACAAAGGAATATAGCTCAGAGGATGAAAAATTTGCCACCTTATTAGTTCTCAAACATCTTAGGAAAACCTGAATTGTTATAAGTGATAGCACTGTGTTTACCTGAATCCAAGATGACTTTGAATTTAAGATGACCCCATAGGAATTAGGTTCTATATACGGTAAATTTATAAATTACTTATAATTTTCCATGGACATAATCTAATTATTGGAGGATTGTTATGAATTTGTCCACCTCCCACCACTTCAGTGGGGAAAGCAGTGGCAGGGGAGTATACAGCAGGGATGTCCAGCAGCCTGACTCTCACCCCTTGACTGCCCCCGTCACTTGCCCCTGCTGGTGCCTGCATCCCTTGGAACCTGCCCCCTTGTAGTGCCTGCAGTCCTTGCACCTTGCTCCTCCATCCCCACATTGTGTGTGTGTGTCCCCGCCATACCTGTGCTAACCTGCTGCAGTGCCTGCCCTGCTCCCCTCTGGCCTCCACTCTGTCCCTGCTGCTGTTTTACTTCTAGTTGCAGTTCTGGCTCCAGCCTTGCTCTGGCCTGGAACATGGAGCACATTGTGGCTCCAGCCCCCACCTGGGTTTGCATCAGCTGTTGCAATGGCAGCAACTCTGGCCCCCAAGACCTAGCCAGAGCCAGGGCCAGAGCTCCCACCACTGCCTTGACAGATACATGGCTAGGCAGGGGCTGGAGCTGCAACTGAGGGAGGAGCCAGGACTGAGAGAGCTTGGAGAAAAGGCAGTGGAAAATGTTGGGGTGGAAGGAGGCAAGGCAGCAACTGAGCCCAGTGTAACAGTTACAGCCACAAAAGCCACCTGCTACCCCACTTTGTATTCAAATTCAAAATAAGGGGCTTTTCCTTCCATGTTGAGTAGAGGGAAAAAAATGCATTTTTGTTTCAAGTAAATACAGCATTTAGATTTAGTTTTATATCCTGCCGTATGCAGATAGACACAATGGCATACAATAAATGCCAATCTTCTTATATCTCTGAATTAATGTAAAAAATCTCTAGAGGGTATGGATGTTGCAGTAGAATTGTGTTTTGCTTTTGGGCTGGCTGTACCTGAGAGAGAGAGATTATAGATCTTGTATTAAAATTAATACCTCAAAGAAATCAGGAGGCTTCTCTTTCTTTTTCTCTTTCCTATGTGAGATGTTTAAGATTAGGCTGAACTGATTCTAAAATGTGACTTGGGTAAAGGAGTATTTGGGTACCCAACTGGAGACACCTTAAAGAGCCTGAAAATCCTCTTAATTAAGCTATATTGGTTTGGAGATCCAGGGTGACTTATCACTTCAGACAGTTTAGGCCAGTGGTGCCCAATGTTTTTGCCCTGTGGGCCAGATAGGTGGTACCTGGTCCTTCCATGGGCCAGATCCAGCTGGTGGGCCCAACCAGGTCATGTGGTGAGGTGTGGACAGCACTTGGCCCTCACTGCCTACTGCCCTTTGGTATTTGGCAGTCGGGAGGGATGGTATCATTAGTTGCCAAATTTTGTGAGTTGTGGGCAGCCCTGTGGGCGGATGCTGTGGTTCTGCAGGTTGGATCTGGTCCGCAGGCTGGGGATTATTGAGCACCCCCCATTTAAGCCAATAATGATTATCTTTACATTGCTTCTGGTTCGTTGTCAACTGCACACAAAAATGTCTTTTACCATAGTCCATGTTACCCCCTTGTGCATGGAACACTCTTAAAGCATGGGAAAAATGGTTAACAAAGGTGTGCAGTTACTGTCTACAGCCTTTTAGAAAATGAGGGTTTATATGGATGTTTGTCAAAATATTCTGACCCACTCAGATCCCCCTTCTGGCTATAATATCTCAATTAAAATAGTTGTCAATATCATTACCAAAGAAGTGCACAAAAAATCTCAGAGAAGAACCTGTAACCCAGTAGGCAAAAGAAATCCGTTGTTTATGTAACTGGTCATCATATTCTTCAGAGTGTGTTCAGCATTCAGTAATCCAGTAGTATAAATAGAGTATATCAAGTCTGAATAGGATTTGTACCTATGTGCGTGGTTGCCAAATTAATTAGGGATATACATTACTAGGATTTTCTATTGAAATTGAGATGCTTGAAATAAAGATGAAGTTGAACTTCTTACGTACTAAGAAGTTATATATCCTCCTAGTATGTAACTGTAAGAAGATAGCTTGAACTGTAATAGATTGCAAATAATTATTTAAGACAGTAGAGCCTGGATACCTGCAAAGTTGAGGGTTTGTGAAATACCTGGGGTTATACAGAGCTGCAGCAAACTGCTGCACAGGACTGTTGAATGAACTCTAGCTGACCAAAAAGTGGGGCCCTTTGAAGTAAAAGTGGCAGCAAACAGCTGAGTAGCTGGCTCTTAATTTGACAACCCCTGGAAATTAAAGAGTTTGTGAACCACCCAGATACAACAGATCTGGTTTCTATTGTATTGTGAGAGTAATTTTCCTTGGAACAGTAGGTGAATATATACATTACAAACCCTTTTATTAATCCAGCAAGTTTGAGATCCAAGTACAGATTTCTTAATTTTGGGGTATTTTATGTGTTTTTTTCCCCATTTTATAATAATTTCTATGAACTTAAGCGCATTGCTTTTATCTTCAAAATATTTAGATTGTGGACTTGTGATATAGACATGCCAGTGTAATTTGGCTTTGTATGCAGTGTATGTCCTGCTCCAGCATGAGTCACTCTAGTCTGGGGCAAAGCTGCCACTCAGGAGTAACTATATTGACATAAATGACATTGGTGTACAGGTTGCCTGTCTGCTGCTCTAGTTCGTTTGATCTGGCATTAAAAATTACTCACTGTGGATAGGCTGCTTCTGGCTTCCCTACCAACTAGTGGGGAAAGCTCTGTAATATTAATAGCAACCCAGCCAGCTGGTTGTCTTTGTGCTCCAGACGTGCACAAGTTACATCTCTATAAAACCAATGTAAACGACATTGTTAACATACTGTGTATGTATCTGAATTCTGTGTGTAGGGGGTCTACTTTAATGTGCATTTCAGAAAAACGTTCTCTGTGATTGCCAAGAAATATTGCATTGGCCATGATTCCCCACAAAAGCAATCTAAAAAACCCAGCATATTATTCATATAATACGCTGTTTTAGAATGTGCCAGTGCTTACTGCAGTGCAAAGACAACACGGCAATCACTGCAGCCATAAATCTTGTTACTATCTGCTAGTGATGTAGACTAAATGAAGGCACCTGTCAGTGAAGTGAAAATGTTTCAGCACCATCTTTTAAGAAGTTAAATGCGCTGCCAATACCCCTCCGCCAATCAGCAGCGAGGGGTGTGACTGCCAGGAAATGCCTGCAGAATTGGCTCTTCCTGTTTTGACCAGGCTGTGAAAATTGCCTTGTCTTGCCATGGGTTAAATAGACCTTTACCTACGTGTGTGCATATGCACATAATCGTGGCTGAAATCACACTTACAAGCAGCTGTTTTTAGCACTGTTTTGTATAATTTTTTAAATTTGTACATGTACTTGATAATGACATCATTACCTATTCTGGTTATTATATTAATTTTATTGTAGAGAGAGATTATAGTTAATTGTGGCAAAATAAAATAAATATATTGACCCAAACAACAATAGTCAATCTGGGGTACATACAGGAAAGACTATTTGCATTACTGATATGATCCATGATATTTCATGACTATAAATATAAAAATTGTATGAGTTATTAGTCTTGTATCGTAGTAGTTTGTTTATAAATGTGCACTTTGTTGCTACTAAATAGCATACACGTACATGGCAGCTTGTTCAAAAGAAAGATAGTTTTACACAGCCTTTTAAAAATAAACAATCCGACATTCTTTAAAATATCTGATAATACAATATTCAATTAATTTGGGAAACAAATACTTTACTTTTATTAACATGTATGCTAAAATTAATTTTTTTTTTCTCTCAAATGTATTTGTGCAGTTGGCAGAACTGAGACAGAGATTGGATCATGCAGAAGCAGATAGACAAGAGCTCCAAGATGAACTGAGACAGGAACGAGAAGCAAGAGAAAAGTTAGAGATGATGATAAAAGAATTAAAGCTACAGATTTTGAAATCTTCAAAAAATGGAAAAGGAAAATAGATATTGGGAAAAGTGAACACAAGTGTGTTCTTCAAACAGGGTTGTTTTTTTGTAGTTGAATTGTGAGCAGTTTTTCTGTATAATAAAACAAGGTATTCTCTATGGATTTCTCAAACAGAAAACCAAGATGAAGAAATAAGTAGATGGATATACATTTTTTTCCTAGCTCATGAAAATCTGCATTTATTTGTATTGGTGATTTTTCTGAGACAACTGTTAAAGACATGAAACTTTTGTTTTAGAACAGTCAATTTCCCTCTCTTTCTGATGCAGTATTGAGGGCTGTGTACCTTTTTTAAAGCAGCATTTTATGTTTAAAATATACTGTGGTGGTTTTTATTTTGCTACTTGTTGCACATCCTGATATAGAAGTACATTTTTTAAATGTTGCTCTTTTTAAATCTAAAATTCAAAACCAGAATTTGAGCTTCAGTAAAAAGTCTTTCCTCTCTGTTTGGTGACAAGGAAGGCATTTTCACGTTAATGTTGCAGGGTGGGAAGTTGATGAAAGGGAACTGTTTGTTATAAATGTACTAACTTGAATTTTTTCATCCATATACATTTTCAGCTATACATTTTTCAGTACAATTTTTCATCTTTTTAATATTAAGTATTTAACATTTTTTGTCAAGATTACAAAAAAATTTGTATACTTTTGATATTCTGGAAAGAAGATATCATTATTATGTACTTCTTGTGAAAAGGAATAACAAAAATGCATGAAAAACTTAAAAAATAATCTACCCCTACTTTATTTTTCTTCCAAATGGCAAATATGGAAAAAAAAGTCTAACGGATTAAATTTGTAGGTTTTCTCTTTTAATAAGAAGGTTCAGGTAATGATGATCTGAAAATATGAATGACCTAGAGAATAACACTTTTAAGTTACATACATTAGTTACTTTTCAGTATGGAAGTCTTTTTTTTTTTTTGTACAGGCTTTTCTTTTAGTATGTGAAAAACAGGCTTTAATTGACATTTAGGTAATTTATTAAACATTTTGAAAAAAACAGATTTCAGCTGTGGCACTTTGAAAGACATTATAATGTTTACTGTGTTTAAATGTTATGGTAAATATTTCTACTAGCTGCAGAAACAGCGTGTTCATTTAACCATAACATCTGAAAATTAATTCTAGTACAGAATTCTTATATTGGCATACCTGATACTAGCTTTGAGAAATTCTGACATGGGATCACAAATGCTTAGTTTTAGAATGCCTTTGCTATTAGAAGCCTGACAGAGTAAGGGAAAGATTGCATCATTGAATAGAAAAATATCTTTCTTTTCATTTTAAAAAGTTTGACATGCCCTTGATAGACTTTTTGTTTTGATTGTCAGTGATTAGAAGTATTTTAGTTTCTTCCATGCTCACAGCATAATCTGAGTCTGGCACAAATTGAAGCTTTTTGCTATGGTGCTTGTGTCTTTACTGTATTCAGAAAAGTTAAATTAATGGTGAAGAAGGCCATTAATACATTTTCTGCTTCCATATTTGCTTTGAGTTAGTTAAGTTTTCTGGGAATTTTATTTTTTCATGCATTGTTTCAATGACGTTATAAATATTAGAAAAAGAAAAATTAAGTTGGCAAATATCTCTCATGCTACTTGTTCAATTTGGAGAGGTGAAACTAAAGTATGTTTGACATGTTTGTTAGAATTGTCGTGTATTCTTAATGTCACATTTACACTGAAAGTTAAAGTACATTTGAAGCAGTTTGAAACATGGATTATATGAATTGGAATAACAGGTTTTTCTCTCTTTTTGGTTATTCTTTTTAAAAATGTACACCTATCTACACTGGCCTGGTCAAATCTCGTTTTAAGGGCGCTTATGAGGTAGAAGGAAAAAGTGCCCATAGGATACTGATTCACTCAGTGTTAATTTGTGTATTCAAAATCATATATGCTTGTTTTAAAGATTATATATATTTTAATCCCATTAGCCTAGACAATGCAGCTGTGGGAGGAGTCCAAGCTTAGTCTGATTTATGAAACAGATGTACTGATGTTAATGATGTACTGATTCTAAAATCCTTATCAGATGCCAAAGCCTGGAATAGCACAAGTTAGCTCTTGGATCCCAGGCTGAATTTCTCAGATTGGCAGATGGATGGGGTAGGGAAATAATCTTTTTTTTCAAGCTCTTCAGAAAGTTTAATTTGAGTGTCACCAAAAAGGCAGTAAATAAAAAATCCTATTATTTTATTATTTTAAATCCATCTTATTTTTCAGACTGTATCTTCATTGTAAAACTTAAATGTGGGCTTCACCTGTTTCAGTTGTCAATTGTAGGTGGGCACTTTGAACATCTTTGAATTAGTTTATTTACTGCAGTATTTCATGTTCTAGCAGTTGAAGTGGTAGAATCTGCACTGGATCATTGCTGTAGAATACTATATGTTTTTATTCACTTTTCACTAATCACTTAAAAATTCTTTTTTTGCTCAAGTTTTCCATAGTTGTTGCCTCTGACTTGATTTTGCCAGTAGGTAACACAGCATGAGTGCTAATATAGGCAAGGTTCAGTGTCTCCACCAGCATTTTAAACACCCTGTCAGCTTTGTTCCATCAGGATCTACCTGATGCAATGCTTAGGATGTTAAAAGCCATGATCTCTATTAGTATTTCTATGATGGCAGTCACTCTGGAACTATGGTAAATTTTAGAGGGGAAAAATCCAGTTGCAAATAAGGCCTCTTAAGGTGCAGACAGAAGTGACAATTTTCCTGATCTGGCCACAAAAAAGCAGTTTATAGTTGTGACCAAACACAAGTGCACAGCTGTAAACAGCTTAAAAATGGCAGAAAATGGGATGAAATCTGACCTCTTATTGCATGAGGTGTCAGATAAAGATGTCTTGTAACTTGTGTCTGGGAGCTGTTCTTTTTGGAATGGAATGGGAGTGGGAAGGGGAGCAAAGGGAGTTCAGTCTGGGGGGTTTTCAGCCCCCCCTGGAGGGTGGGGCAGATGTATTGCAGACCCCCTGAGGTGAAGCCAGGGGGCCTCCAATTCATGCCCACACTTTCAGCACCAGCTGGGAAGCCCCAAGAATAAGCTCCCTCTGCTGCCTTCTCCCCACCTCCCATTGTGAAAACAGTGAGCAAGGGCAGAGAGCCTGGCCGTCACTATGGGAATCTGGCTCCAGGCTTCCAAGTGCAGCTAGGTTTTCCCTTCCCCCCCTGGAACCAACAGTGAACTTTTGTTCTGGGGTAACGGTGTAACTCTGAATGCTTTGCAAAAATCATTCTTAGTTGCAGCTGGGAGCTGCACTTCTGTCTGCACCCTTATTCTAATATATTGGCTGAAAAAGCTTAATTGAGAATTGGTCTAAAGTCTCTTTTAGTAGCCTTGTAAATATATCATTTACAATAATTTAAAATAATGGTATTTTTTTTAATACTAAATAAGGACATTTTATTTTCCAGTTCATTACATAACAATTCCCATATGTGTAGACTTAATTTTATATAGATTTTTAAGTAATAATGTATAAATAAATGTGCCATAGATTTTTGTGTCCATAGTCATTGAAAGATGGTTTTGTAGTAAATTGTAAATAATACTGTATAAGTTCTAGAATAAATAGTTATATTGAGCTCTTTCACTAATTTATAATAATTAAGACAAACAGTTCATTTTACAGCCTAATACAGAGACTAGGAATGAACCCTTAAGGGACCTCCAGCGAAAGTTGTCCTGTCACTATGAACATGCTTGTTTAGTCATAGCATGCTCATTTTACTTGTGAATTAATAATGGAGTTTATTTTGACTCTCATTTTTCTGTGCTGATCTTTTAGACTGGAAGTTTATTTTCCAGATTGACTTAAAGTTAATCTTGATAAAAGATTAAAATATTCTTAACTTGAATCTGCATTAATGAACAATTAGTTGAGAAATAAAGTTGCCTTAGAGCATTTTGAGAATAAAATTAGTAGTATTCAACATGTATCTAGTTTGCTAATATACCTTCTGAGGGAGAACTTCCATGTGCTATGTGTACTCAATTCTGCAAAAAAACCTAACGATTCTAGAAAACTAGTAAATCTTTTGTATTCTGGCACTCTGAAAGCACCCTGATTCACAAATGTGACCACTTAAAACTCATTGAAACAGATTTTAGCAGATCTCCAAGGTTAAATTTAAAGAATCTGTCCTTTAGTTTTTGTAAAACCTGTCCTTTTAGCTTGAGTATTAGGAATACATAGTAGTTATGTTTTACATTTATTAAACTAAGTTTATTCTATATTTAATATATTAATAGCTTAGATGTAAAATCATTTGTATATAGTAAGGGTATGATGCAGTTACTTAAGTTGGCAAAGTCAAGAGGGAGTGTAAAACTCTTGGTGGGTTGGCCTGAAGAGCACCACTCAGGCTCATGGTCAGGAAGTCATGAACCACGTTTAGTCATATACATTCATCAGTTTGCGAAAAAATCAAATTTGCAATTAACTCTAATGTGACACTAAATTGTAGAAACATTTTCCTAGGATTCATTGTGAAGCTAGTCTTAAAATACATGGTCAGCTTCCTAAAAAATTCTTTCTTGTTAGTACGGTATATATTTTGACTAGCCAGTAAGGATATTAACATTATACTTTTTCTGCACTTAACCCATATAATTAATCCACATGACAGAATTTTTATAGCATGGTAAAATTAATAAAATACATAAATACACCTGCCTTCAATTCTGTGCTTGCACTATTTAAGCAGTTTTATCTTAAGCTGTCAGCAGTAAAAATATCTTAGTACAAAAACCTGTAGATTTTACTAATGTTACAGAGGTTCAACAAAGGTTCATTGCATTTGTAGTATCAGAGACAGTCAAACATTTCCCTTACTGGAGGTTTTGTTCTAGAATTAGTTATGTTGGACTCCTGTAGTCCAAAAGGGCATCCATTATTTTTGCCTAGTTTTTACTTCTTATGAAAGTAAAGGTCATCAGCTTACAGACTGCACAGTGCATTTCACAGTATGTCTCCGTTACTACATAGAATAGAACGTTTTCTGCAGTTACTGTTTTAGTTGAAAAAAGCTTGAAAAACTGGTGGGTTTGAAGCATTACTTAATCAAGCACAGCAAAACAAAAGGTTTTCAAAATAAAGCAGAACACTTGGGAATCAGTCAAATGTTTTAAAAAATATTACAATTTTTTTCCAAATATAGATACCTCACTAGAAAACATGGAAAGCACAGTTGTACTTTATTTAAAATAATTCTAGGAACTAAAGTTTGTCTCCAGTTTTTTTGCTGCAATTACGTTGCCTTCCAGGATTATAAGGTCCTTGATAGACAAAATCTGTTTTTTTGTTTTCATATTCACTGTTGGAAGTATTGATGTTGACATGCCAGTATAATTAACCTTTAGATTACAGAGAGTATCTGTAAAGCTTTGTAGAAACTATCTTCGATCAAGACAAGTGAAATAACTATCTGAAACTGTAGTAAAAGCCTGAGATAAAATATCAGTGCATTCAACAATTTTTAATACTTTGCCAATGATGTACAGTTTTATTGTTCAAGTTGCTGTGGTTGCATTACATGACACACAAAACTGTCCTCTACCTCACGTGAGATTTAACGGATATTTTATATGGTTTTAGTAAAAACAAGATGCATCTATCTGGTCACTTAGTTTACAAATTTTGAATTATATTTATTGAAACATGACATACTGTGCTCTTAGCTTATACCTCAATTGTATTTTGTGCTGTTATCCATTTTCATGCCTTGTAAATACCCTGTATAGATGGTGGATTCGAATACAAATA